TTTTTTTTTTTTTTTTTTTTATTGAAAATGGTGTATTAAAATCTTCTTATAGGACTGTGGAGTCATCTTTTTGTCTTTTCAGTTCTGTTAAAGTCTGATTAATACATTTTGGGGCTCTTTCATTGGATGTATGTTTATTATGATTATGTCCTCTTATTCAATTGATTCTTTAATCTTTATATAATGTCCTTCTTTGTCTCTTATAGTGGTTTTTGTCATAAAGTCTATTTTACCAGAAATTAATGTTACCAGTCCTCCTCTTTTTTTATTGCTATTTGCTTGGTTTGTCTTTTTCCAACATTTGATTTTTAGTCTATTTTTGTCTTTGTGTCTAAGGCGAATCTCTTGTAGACCACATATTGATGGGTCATGTTTTCTTATCCAATCTTCAGGTCTCTGTCTCTTGAGTGGTGCATTTAATCCATTGACATTCAGTGTAGTTATGGACAAATATGAATTTATTGATGTCATTTTGTTATGTGTTTTTTTGCAGTATTGTTGATTTCTTTTTTCCATTAATTTTATGTGCTGAGCTTATTTTTTTTTATGAATTCTGTTGTCATTTCCTTTGTTGCTGTTGTTTTAGTATTTCCAAAATATTTTTACCTCTCATCTTTTTATTTTGATGTGAAGGTTTATCATTTTTCTTCATGGTTACCCTGTGATTTATAGTTTTCTTGCCAAGTTTAGAACAGTCTCTCTCCCAATTGTTCTGAGTTTCTCATCATTTGGAAGTTCTGTACCTACACTGTTTATTTCCTCATTTTTGTTTGTAGTTGTCTTCATTTACCAATTGATGTCTCTGGTTCCCAGTTAACAGTTTGTAAAGTTATTTTACTTTGGATACATCTATAACTGGGTTGATTTCTGAGTTATATTGTCATGCATGTTAATTATTGGTTGTTTGCTGTTGCTAATTCTCTGTCTGAGGGCTTCCTTTAGCATCTTTTGTAAGGTTGGTCTGGTTTTAACAAATTTCCTTAATTTCTGCTTATCTGGAAATGTCCTAATTTCAACATCATACATGAGGGACAGTTTTGCTGGGTATATAATTCTTGGTTGGCAGTTTTTTTTCTTTTAGGGTTTTATATATCTCATCCCATTGCCTTCTCACCTGCATGGTTTCTGCCAAGAAATCAGAGCTTAGTCTTACTGGTTGCCTTTTGTAAGTAACTTTTCTTTTTTCTCAAGGTGCTTTCAGGAGTCTTTCTTTGTCTTTGGTTTTGGTGAGTTTGATTATAATTTGTCTTGGTGATTTTCTTTTGGATTCTATCCTGTTTTAGGGTTCATTGAACTTCTTGAATGGCTATCTTCTCATCTTTCATCATAATAGGGAAGTTCTCTTCCAACAGATCTTCAACAGTTTTCTCTGTGGTTTTATTTGTGTGTTCTGGAATTATTACAAATAAGTTATTCCTCTTGATAGTATCCCACATGAATGTTAGGTTTTCTTCATTTCGTTTTGATCTTTTTTCTTATTGATCCTTTAACAAGGTAGTATTGAGGTATTTGTCTTCAATCTTATTAATTCCATCTTCCATTAGATGGATTCGATTCTACTCCTTTGCCCATTGAATATGTTATCTCTTTTTGAAATCTTAGTATAATCTTCTGGAATTCTATTAATTGTTTTCTAATTTTTTGTGTATTTTGTCAATTTTTTCTTGTGTTTTATTCCTATATTGTTCTAGAATTTTGTGTTTTCCTTAACTTTGTCATTGTTTTCCTTGTTCTTGTGGGTGTTTTCCTTGGTCTGTCTCTCAGTCCGTTGAAGGTACCTATATATAATTCTTTTGAATTCCTTATTAGAAAGTCCTAGTGCTACTCCTTCCTCAGAGATGATTTCTGGGTCTGTATCCTGCTCCCTTGTTTGTTCTACTTTATCTTGCTTCTTTGTTTGGACTAGGATGAGCTTTTGTCTCTGAAACATTGTGATGTTGTTGTATTTATGTTTAATTTGTGGTTGTATGTTGATGTGATTCCTCCAAGATTTTTTTTCCCCTTTATTTTGTTTTGACATATCTGTGTGAGCAGGGTACTGTGGTCCTCTATTCGCTAGTTGGTAGCACTTAGGCATTCACCTCCTGTCTCTGGTGGGTGTGATACAGAATGAGTGTGTGTGCATATATCTCTGTTAGCTGTTAACTAAGAGCAGTTGAGGGTGAGTTGAGCTGGTATTGGCTGTCGTCTGTCATTGGTCAATTGGTTCAAAAGCAAGTGGTGGTCCTCTCTCAGTAGGTGGGGCTGCTGGAGGTACAGATATGGTTGAGTTGTGTGGGAATGGTTGCTGTCTACTATTCTGTTAAACAACAACAAAACAAACAAACAAACAAAAACAACAGCAAAAAACTGAAAACAAGAGAACAGAAAATTCAAGCTGCATAAACAAACAGGAGTAATTGCACCCCCCCCTGCTAACCAGAAGGCTGGCGGTTCAAACCCACCAGCCACTCCTCGGAAGGAAGGTTGGGCAATCCTACTTCCGTAGTGATACTGCCTCGGAAACCCAAGGAGGGGTCACTATGAGTCGGGGCCGACTCGATGGCAAACAACAAAAGAGGCAATAAATGGGAAGAAAAAGTTTTAAAAAATAAACAAAAAAAAGACAAAAGACAGATAATGAGAAAAAGGGGGTAACGGGGTATGAGAGAAATGAGTAAGAGTAGAAGAACAGTAAAGACAAAATGGGAAAACTACAAAAGGAAAATCAAGGGGTGGTAAGAACTAAAAGAAGAAAAGAAAGAAAAAAGGAGGGATCCAGGAAAATGGAAAGAGAAGAATAAATAAATATAAAGGAAGAAAGGAGGAAGATAAAACGAATAATTTAAAATCAAACAAACAAAAACAGAACTTGGGGGATGGGCAGGGCACCCATGCTTTGTCAGGGCACAGACCTGGCTGAAATTCCTGCTGGTGAAGAAGGTCAGTAGAGGCAAGGGATAGCCATACCTCTGTTCAGCAAGAGGGTGTGAGGTATAAGAGTAAGAAGGGGAATATTGCACCATTCTAGTTATTACCTTCCAGTGCAGTTGCCCATGCTGTCTTTGGCAAGTGGAACCTATTCTTAGGTCGCTGTCCAGATTAGAATAACACTTGCATATGTTCCAAATGGCTGTGCCCTTAGACAACCATCACTCCACAGCTCTGTTTGTTTTCTTCTTCGCTGTTTTCCTTTCTGGTTGTCAGGCCTCAATGCAGTCCTTGCCCATGTAGTCCTTGGTGAGCAGAGCCAATTCTTAGTTTGCAACTGGCATGCTGCTTGCAAAATGGCTGCTCACTCAGGACAGCCAGCGGTCCCCAGCTCTCTTTGTCTCTTTCTTTGCTGTTTTCCTTTCTGGTTGTCAGGCCCCAGTGCAGTCTTTGCTCATGTAATCCTGGGTGAGTGTAATTCTGAGCTGCCGAGACACCAGGGCATGGAGCTGTTTCAGAGAAGCAGTTTATTAGCACTCCCGGGCAAGGTTCTTGTGCCCTTGCATCAGGACCAGAGAAGTCGCACCCCCGGGCAGGGAGGATAGATTTTCATAGACACAGAGGGGTCCAATTAGCTATCGGCACGGGTCTCCACCTTATTTCCTATTTCACAGGAGGAAGTTTATTATCACATGGGACTTCCAGCCTGGGCGGGTTCTGCCACCTCAGCTGTCTTATCAGGGCCTGACACTTAGAGGTACTAAAATTAACATGCCCAGTTGCTAACTGAAATGTTGGTGGTTTGAGTTTACTCCAGCTTAACAGTGAGCAGAGCCGATTCTTAAGTTTTTACCACAATGCTGCTTGCAAATATTCAAAATGGCTGTGCCCGCAGGATAGCTAGCAGTCCTTGGCTTCGTTTGTTTCCTTACTCACTGTTTTCATTCAGGTTCTTCTACTAGTTGGTATTTAATCCACGTCTTTATCTTTCCCTTCAAAGCTCAGGGTTCTAGGATCATCTTCTGTATCAGTTTCAACTGGTTTCTCATTGCTTTGTTAGAGAGGGTCTGTGTAGCCTGACTGCCTATTCTGCCATCTTGCCAGAAGTCCGCAGCTATGTTTTTTAAAAATACCAACAGTTTTCTGATACATCTTCAAACTGCCCTTGTATGTACATAGATGTGTTTTTTTTTGAGAAGCTTGAGTCCTTAAAAGAGAATATATAAATCCAGAGGTGTGAACAGATAACATACAGGATAATAGCACTTGCTTTTATTGTATTTGGTCTCTTTAAGAGTGTGATGTTCTGATGTATCTCAGCCCTTTTATCCTTCTTCCCCCTGTGGTAGGCCAGCCTTAGAGTATGCTTTTGTAGTGTAGTTTTCATTTTGAAAAGTTGAGCGATTAGTGTTGTTTATAAAATACTTCTCCCCTTCTTTCTGTGACTCTGCTTTTATGGGACTTAATGTATATCAATATGTTGTTGTTGTTATGTGCCGTCGAGTCGGCCCCGACTCATAGCGACCCCTCCTTGGGTTTCCGAGGCAG